TATGTTTTCCCACTCATTATGTTTTTTAATTGAATTTCCCCTCTGTTTCCCCCATTATATTCCACCTCCACTTACCCACATCTTCTGTCCCGCTTGGTCTCTTTCCTGCAAATGACATGTTCTCTTCGTTGGCAATTTCTCTTGCCTGAGAATTTGGCAAGTGGGTTGTGGGAATCCCTCAAGCCGTGGTGGACTGACTGCCCCTGTACTATGGGCAGCTATGACAGGGAGAGGAAGCCTGACATTTCTGCTGAGGCTTGGCAGGAGGGTGGGGGTGGGGGGCTCTGTTCTCAGGTGGAAGAAAGCTCAATCTTCTTTTGAGCTCCCCTGGGTGGGATCACACCAGTTTCACCCAGACAAGATCACAGCAAGGACGTAGAGCAGCTAGACTGGGATCCTAGGGCCCAGATGTCAAACAATGAGTTCTTAGCTGTGTCTGGACTCTTCATTCTGTGGCCAGGCTGGAAGGGACAGAGACCAGAGAGAAGTGACTATGACAGGTTGTCCTTTTCCCAGAATTCCCTAGTACAGCAACTGCTGGTCCTCATCACCGGGACCCTGCAGGACAGATGCTTCCCACCATCACTCAGCACCTTTGGTCCAATGTCTTCAGACGCACCAATGGAGCCCCTTCCACACCATTTTCCCCTTTGCGCTGCTCTGTGAAAACAAAGTAAAAATTTAAAGTTCCAGCTACCTGGTCACAAAGTTCAAAATTACAGTTTCTTTTTTTTTTATGTTTATTGTATTTATTTATTTGAGAGAGAGAGAGAGCGAGCACAGAGGGAGAAGGAGAAGCAGACTTCACTGTACAGGGAGCCCGATGTGGGGCTCGATCCCAGGACCCTGAGATCATGACCTGAGCCGAAGGAAGATGCTTCACCTACTGAACCACCCAGGGGCCCCAAAATTAGAGTTCCTAAGAAGCAAATGTTTGAAAACTTCGTTAACTTTTCATGGTGTTTTCCTCTCCAAGAGATCCCAGACCTCTTGTTTGCCAGTCGTCTACCATTCAGATGATCCGCCTCGTGGAGTCTGACTGTGGCAGGCCCTCCGGTGATTATGCTTCCACTGGGCCACCATGTGCCCCAGGCACAGCCCCCATGTGCAGTGGGGAGGCTCCCCGTCCACTGAGCAGTGCTCAGGACACCAGCCGGGTATCTCCAGGTTTAGCTCCGCTATGACACTCTGTACCCAGGTCTCACAGGCCGAGGCTTCAGTTCTAGAGGACTGTTCCCCAACCTGCCCCTGCCACTTCAGAAGCCTGTCCAGGTTGTCACCTGTGCTTCTGACCAACCGCCTCTAGATTGGAGTTTCCACGCCGCCCCCCCCCCCCGGCCTTGGGTTCCACTGACTTGCTAGAGCGGCTCAGGAACAGTTCACTTACGAGATTAGCTGGTCACCACAGGGAACAACTCTGGGACAGCCAGAGGGAAAGGACGCAGAGGCCGTGGCATGAGGAAAGGCTTGCAGCTTCCGTGGCACATGGATCGCCCACCAATCTGCACATGTTCACCACCCTGAAAGTCTTCTGAACCCCATCCTTTGGGTTTTTTAGGGAGGCTTCATTACATAGGCACGATTGATTAAATCATTGGCCTCTGGTCATTGATTCAACTTCTGGCCTCTCTCCCTTCCCTGAGTGTTGGGGTTGGGGGGCCGGTGGGACTGCATGTTCCACCCTCCAGTCCCAGGTTGGGTTCTCCCGGTAACCAGGCAACCATGCCAACCCCAGGAGCAGCCCCAAAGTCGCCTCATTAACACAACAAAAGACCTCCTGTCACGCAGGAAAATTACATAAGGGTTTTAGGAGTTCTGTGCCAGAAATGGGAATGAAGATCAAATATATATTTAATATTATTTTTTTAAAAGTAGGCTCCACGCCCAGTGCAGAGCCCAGCTCAGGGCTCTAACTTACAACCCTGAGATCAAGACCTGAGCCAAGACCAAGAGTCAGATGCTCAACCGATTGAGCCACCCAGGTGCCCCTATGTTTCTTATTATAAACCACAATATCTCAGCCACTTTGCTTAGAGATCAAAATAAGTAAGTCCTAAAGGCTGAGCCTCGACTCTTCTGGCCACAAGGCCATCACCCTCACCCCCACCGTCCTTGCGTAAAATGCATTCCCACGGAAAGCTAGATCTACTGGAATGTTCCTTGAAGGGTCCTGGCAAGGCCTGCAGCAGAATCTGAGGAAAGCTTATAAAGGTGTAGGGTTTTTGGCTCTCGGACGTGGGAGTGGAGCACTGCAGTTGGCATTTGAAGCTGCCCTTATACTACAGTTTGGGAACCGTGGTGGCTGCCACGCCGCGTGGCAGGGAATTCTGATGGCCGGGTCTGGGGACTTGGCCTCCACGCTCCCTGCCCTCAGGGCTCGGAGTCACAGAGCACCCAGGAAACTCTCGGGATTACACGGAGCCAGCTGTCCTTTTACAAGGAGAGGAGCTGGCGACATTCCAGCCAGGTACAATTCCTTGAATGCCGCCCGGGCCCGGGAGCACCTCCCTCCACGCAGCGTGTGGCCACGCCGGGCCGTGAACACCTGCCTCTCGGCCTCCAGGTTCCGCGCGCTCTCGCTGCAGGGAGCAGGTCTGCGCAGCGACTCTTGGGGTTTTCTGCCGGGCCCCGCGGCTCCAGCCACTGACTCTGACATTCGGGACAGGATCATGCGGGCGACAACAGCATTGTTTGTAATAGTTTAAATAAACCCGATGGATTTTCATCTGGAATGCTAGGATACGTCCCCTGAACCAGCCGGGGCTGAGGGGTCAGTTGCCCGACAAAAAGATCCAGCAACTCTCTCCCATCAGATTGTGAACAGTCCTTTCCCTCGAGCCCTGGAGGAAGAAGAGCTACTTTGTCGACTGTGGAACTAAGCTTTCATTTTCACTTAGTGGCTTGAGATCCTTATCGGAACTCCAGCCTTTACCGAGAACGTGGCTCGTCAAATGCAGTTACTTCCTTTCATTCTCACACCGACCCCTGCGAAGGAGATCGCACTGGTGTCCACTGAGGCACAGAGAGGGCGTGCGGGAAGCAAATGGTAACGCTGGAGAGTGGATCCGGTCTGGCTCCACAGACTGCATTCCTGGGATGTGATTAGCTAGAGGCACCAGATTAGTGGCACAGGCAGGCTTATCTTTATTTGTTCATTCATTCATTCAGCAGAATGGACTTTGTATCAGGTCCCTAAGCCAGGAGCTTGGGACACAAAGTCAAGGTAAGTTATTGGCCCTCCCTGCCCTTGGTATATCCAATTTAATGATGAACACGAACAACTATAGGGCCAAGTAAAATAACCAGTGGTAGGTGCTAGGGCAGAAGTGTATGGTGAGGTTAGAGGCACAGGCACAGGACACAGAACTCGGGAAGGTAAGTCATGGAGAAGCTGGCCCCTGAGTAGAGTCCCACTGTGGAGGTTGGAGGAATTGTTTGAGGAAGCAACACACACAAAGGCCCAGAGCAGGAAAGAGCAGCCGTCAGGGAAACTGCAGGAGGTTTACGATGAGGTTAACGTGAGTGGGTTTGGCAAAAAAAAGGCAAGAGGGGAGTCTGGAGGTGCCCCCAGGATGTGATCTCAAATAGCCTTTCCGCCAGGAGTAGAGCTTGGGCTTTATCCTGAAGGTAACGTCAAGCCATTAAAGTGTTTTAAGAAGAGGAGTAATGGGGCCAGGTTTTCTTTTTCCTTTTAAGATTGTATTCATTTATTCATGAGAGACACAGAGAGAGGCCGAGACACAGGCAGAGGGAGAAGCAGGCTCCGATGCTGTGGGACTCGATCCCAGGACCCTGGGATCACACCCTGAGCCAAAGGCAGATGCTCAACCACTGAGCCACCCAGGCCGCCCGGGGCCAGGTTTTCTTTATATGAAGAGGGTACCGGTGGCCTCGGGAGGGATGGCCTTGCCCGCAGCTGTTCTCAGACCAGAGGTCCAAGTTCAATCCGCACAGGGGCTGCAAGCCTCCCGCCCAACAGCCTATGTAGCTAGCAAAAGTTTGAAGAGAATTTGTCAAATGCTGTCAAAATCTCGATGGCTTAAGTGACGAAAATTGATTTAAAAAGACATAGAAAATGTGAACTATTATCAACAAAATAAGCTGGAAAAGGTTATTGAAGTGCCAGGCCCATAACGTTTTATGGATAAATTCTTTCAAACTTTCAAAGAACAGATCATTCCTGGCTAAATAAATAATTGCTGGAGTACAGAAGAGGGAAAGCCCAACTGACTTTGCTGTTAGCATATCCTCGCTCTAAAGCCTAGAAAATATTCCTCTAAATACTAGCAAAGTTCAGAAACGTATTGAAAAAACAGTACCCAAAGGCCAGTAAGCTTCATGTCAGAAATGGGAATACAGAGTGTGAAAATATTGTCACTTCAATGCTGAAAATGGTTCTAAGACAGGGAGGGAAACCACATTTGGGAACACTGGTCTTTTTCAGTATACTGGTGCGGGCCATTCAGCTGCACAAACGTTCATCAATTATTTCCATGCCCTCCCCACCTTGTCTTGGGAAAACATTATCCTAAATGCAAAGATTTTAGCAGTGTTCTGTCTGGTAAACTGTTTATTATGGTAAAGAAGAAGAGACACATGGAATACACATTAAGGAAACATTAAGACCCTCATTTAAATAAGATCAATAAATGGAAGAAACTCCAGTGGTTATAAATCATACGTATAAAAATACACGATCTTGTTAGCCATTAAAAAAAATTCATTATGTTGAGGGGCGCCTAGATGGCTCAGTGGGTTGAGCATCTGATTCTTGATCTCAGGGCTGTGAGTTCAAGCCCTGTGCTCAGCTTCACGCTGGGTGTGGAGCCTACTTAAAGGAAAAAAAAAAAAGATCCATCTTTAAACTACGAGCTCCAGTATTTTCATCTGTCAAATCGAGAAAGATTTCAAAAATGGCCAAACAAGCAGTTCTATGTGTTCTCTCAAACCCATTTCAGTAACGGGTGTCAGAAGACTGGAAGGAAATGATACATTAATGGTGATTTTAATATTTCCTTTATTTAAAAAAATCCAGGTATAATAATTAACAGACCATAAAATTTGCCTTTTAAAGGGTACAATTCAGAGCGGTTTTTAATATATTCACAAGATTGTGCAACCATCACTACTATTTAACAGTAAAACATTTTCATCACTTCAAATTCTTTTTAGACCCTTCCTCCCCTGGGATCTACTCTCCAGTTAAAAGTTTTCTTCCCTCACAGGCTGATGGTGAAATACACGTGGAGAGGCCTCCAGCGTGGGAGGAGCCTGGCCCTGGCCAGTGTGTGGGCCACTGGGTCTAGCTGGTCTCTGCATGGGAGGCCTAGAGCCATTCCTTTCCTTTCCTTGGTTGGGCCTTGCCCGCCACTGGAGTGATACCACCTAAGAAGCCAAGTGAGGCTGGGAGCCGGGGTGGGAGGGGCCCAAGGGGCCAATGGGTCTCTTCTCCAGGTGATGACGGGACACTGCTTCACAGGTCTGCCTGCACAGAACCAGCAGAGCTCAGGCCTCGTCCCAGAGTACCTGAACCAGAATCTCTGTGGGCAGGGCACAGGCATGTGTTATTTCTTCTTTTGAAGCTCTCTGGGTGTTTCTAATGTGCAACCAATGTAGAAAAGCCCAATGTTAAGCCGTAAGCCTGACTGTAGCACAGTTTTGTAAAAAGGAAGATGTCAAAATTAACGCTTGAGAGAATTCTCCCAGTAATTCTGATGTGATCGGCACAACATGTGACTTATAAAAAGATAAAAAAAGGAAAAGGCAGTAAACAAAAATACATTATTGTTAATGTTTTGATTGTATTCAAATTTTTATTTTCAACAAAAAACTTGATACAATGATTTTAAATAATAAAATGTGGTATATTCTAGACACTTGTTTTTTTAATGGTTTATTAAATTTGGACTCCTACAGTTCTGTTGTGATGCTTTCTTCAACATTTATATGATTTCTTACCATATTATCACCACTCTAAACTTGCTAAACAAAGAATCACTCTGCTTAAATGAAGTTTCACTTGAAGGAAATACTCCGTTACCACATAAAACACACATACAGAACAGTCATTTTTTTATATTTACAAAACACAAGAAGTCTGTCCAGCCATTTGGATTTGTTGTTACATTGCCCATACTGAGATTAGCAAAAAGCTAAGTAATAAGCAAAATTTCACTTCAGCGGTGCAAAGGATGGCATCAACCAAACTTCATTAAACAAACCAACAAATTACAAACATATTCGCAAAATTCAACTTTTGTAATCGAGATTAAAAAAAAAAACAAACACAAAGTGGGTCACAACTAGACTGGTTTTCACTGTGCAACTTTCCTCAGGGAGCAATACTACCCATTTCACATGGAAAGGAATATGCATCAAAGCCTTTGTTCATGAAGAAAATGCCCTTCAAACAAATTCGTCATAAGGCGCAAAAAAAAAAAAAAAAAAAAAAAGAGAAAGAAAAAAAATTTTTTGATTGAAGCAGTTTGGCCCAGAGAAAAGCTTATACATAATGTGTATCCATAGTATATACACATTAATAGGTATATTACACTTGAAACCATGTATGTTAGTCATTAGACAATTAAATGAATTGGCTCAGTGAGGTGAAAATGTGTCCGTTTTCTATAAATATGTAATTATTGCTGATATGCTACACATTATGCTCTGACATGGAAACTGTAGTAACTTAGAATTGAAAGCTGCCATATTGCCAGCGTCAGCCCTGCAGCAGGCGTTCATGTAGACAACATGCCATCCAATCCCAGAGAAAAAGCAAAAATTCCACTACAGGGGGGAAAAAAAAGGCTTATGCACTATCCCTTACATTTTGCCTATTTTTTTTTTTTTTTAAACAAAAACAAGTCCAGTTCACCACAAGTTAAGCATAACATGACAAGCAAGTCTAGCAGCAGGACGGGAGAGAAGAGTGAAAGACAGCATGCATTTACAACTAGCACTGATCTAGTCTACTCTGTCATACAAACTGGAATACAAAAATCCAATTTAAATAAGACTAGACTAACTGTAAGAGTAAAAAAAAAAAAAAACACACACACAGTAGACTTAGTTTGATACTGATTGATTTTAAGAGTAAAACTCATCCTGTCCTCACTTAATACTCTACTGCAATTTATTTGATGGCTAGAATATTTACTTACTTAGAAAAGATATTAAATACCTGTATCATGAAATTACATTCTTTTTAACAATAAGACATACTGAGTAAGAAAATAGCTCATGTGTGAAATGTGTCTGAAATGCATTTTTCCTCACAACTATCAAAACATCCACTCACACTAAAACAAAACCACCCCAAATCCCCCCCACCCCGAAAAAAAAGTTAAGGAAAGATGGGGTGGGGTCGGGTAAGGGAGCAGGGAAGGAAAGGTTTACCAGCACAGTGATTAACAATGGTTCAAGACAGAACCAACAAGAGTTGGTCAAAAGGATGCCTTCAATACATGGCTACAATTAAAAACCAAACTCAACCACTTTTGGTTCATTGCAGTGAGACCAAAAAAAATATCTCTCACAGATTCATATAAATACTAGACTCCAGCTCTTTTACTATTATTATTTTTAAAGTTTTTCCATTTGTTTTTGCAAGGCCTAGCTACCTTATTTCAATTTATATTGGCTCTGCAACAACTACAAGAGGTAGGCATAGAGCATGAAAAAGTTTCTTAGTTAGTACCTCAGTGTGGGTTGTTCACCATACAATACCATTCACTTTAGATGTGTAAAGTGATTCCTTTCTAGTCTTTCCAAAACTCCAAAACAAAGCTGCTGCCATCCCATAAATGTTCTAAAAGAGTGTACTCACAGATAAGAAACTTTCTCTACTGAAGGATACTGTCATAGTGTTTGTTGCAGAGCATTCATATATTTATATATATATATTTATTTTTAAAAAATAAACAAACAACGAAAACCAAACCCAGGTTCCTAGAACCAATTCTCTTGATTCACTACTTCCACAAAATAAAGTGTACCATTTGGCCAAGACTACAGATGTGTTTTTTTTTTTTTCTTCACAGATGCAAGTGCCATGCAAAATAAATTAAAGAACAGATATCAAACATACATGTGATAAAACTACTGAAGGTAGATCTTTAAAAGCATTTATACAAACATAATTTATAATACTTCTCTTTTTTCCTTTATGTACAGTCACAAAGCTGTAGTTATACATCTAGAATTTCCTCTGCTGTGCCTCCACAGCGCAATCTGTAGCGACCAGTTCTCCAGCTTATAGTAGGGTCCCATAATGCCGATAAAAAAATGTATATTGTCATGGATTCACGGATGAACCAGGCTACTGCATAATCAAGTTTTGAAAAACACAGTGTGCCGCCCTAGGAATTAAAAAACAAAAAAGACGGATTTACTGGCTGTTGAACTAAACATAGTTAAAAAATGAAATTCTTCAATATCACCCTTTTAAATATACTATATAAAATCAAGCCTGTTTCTTTATATAACTGAACTGCTGTGCTATATCAGTTTAAAAAATGTTAATTAGGAATAGATAAAGCATTAACATAATGGCTAATCCTAACATATTTTAGTTTGAATACTTGATTTGCTTAACATCATTTTTTTTGGAGCCTTAATAAAAGTCCTAGTCTAGCTACCAACTGAAAGTTGAAAATCAAGTTAAGTTTTGCATCCACATTCTACTAAAGAAAGTAATGTTTAAACCTGATATTAACCTTCAAAAGGAAGCTAAAGAATGGCTCAGATAGATTTCATCAACCCTTTCTAAAACAAAAATAGTTTTAGTTCCACCAAATGACTGCCAATCTTTTCATGCCTATCCACATACCTGGACACCCCTGAGTTGAATGTAGTCAAATATAAACCATGCCAGGCAATGACACATGAAAAATACCATAATATCCCATCTGAATACATGGTGGGCTGCCCATCCAATAATTAAACTGGCAACAAAGCATTCTGAAATTGGCTCACAAATTATTGTAGCAGGAAGCATGTTAATTCGTAATTTGGTCCACCTAAAAGAAAAAAGACCTTTTTTAAACAACAGCCTGACTACAAGACTAACCAATTTTTCCACCAAATGACCAGCTCCTTATTCTGTGATATGAAGGCCCTCCTCTTTAAAGAGTATTTAATGAATCTCTTTTCTATTTTTATTTAGTATATCAAAGAAAAGTCTATAAATTCATTTGTATGGCCTACACTCTAAAGAATAAAGATTATAAAATTCAAAGTATAGAAAGTTAAGAAAACAGAGATACGCATATTAAAGAAATCAAAGTCTCAACATCTTTCTTTTTAAAAATTATTTAGTCAAATTCAATTTAATTAACATATACTGTATCACTGGTTTCAGGGGCAGAATTTAGTGATTCATCAGCTGCACAGAAAACCCAGAGCTCATTCCATCACGTGCCCAGTTACGCCATCCCCCCTCCCCCACTTCAGCATCTCATATTTATTGAATGCTTTCAGGGCTACACAGCAAAGAAAATATATTTAAACGTTAAATTTATTTTAGTAAGAGGTGTGGGGGATAAGGTAACTGGTGATGGGCATTAAGGAGGGCACGCGATGGAGGGAGCACTGGGTGGCATATAAGACTGGCAAATCACTGACCTCTGAAACCAACAGCATGTTATATATTAATTAATTGACTTTACGCTTTAAAAAACTTAAAAATCTATTTTAATAAGGTTGCTAACCTCTCTTTTCTGGAACTAAGCAAGACTTGACTTTTCAGTATTTTGAATACCACATTAGACCATGTAAAAATTACTCCCCTCAACCTTTCTCTTTTCATCCAGTATAAAAAGAAGAACAGGGATCCCTGGGTGGCGCAGTGGTTTGGCGCCTGCCTTTGGCCCAGGGCGCGATCCTGGAGACCCTGGATCGAGTCCCACATCGGGCTCCCGGTGCATGGAGCCTGCTTCTCCCTCTGCCTGTGTCTCTGCCTCTCTCTCTCTCTCTGTGACTATCATAAATAAATAATAAATAAATAAATAAATAAATAAATAAGTAAGTAAGTAAGTAAGTAAATAAATAAATAAATAAATAGAACAGAACAGCTGGCTTACCTGATCATTCTGGATTGAAACTGGGAAATTGAGTAAGAGCCAGAGTTCTGCATTGCAACCTGAGTGGACATTGCAAACCTCCAGCCTCTGAAAATTAAGACAATTATAAAATGAACTATGATGATGATGAACACATGCAGGCACGACTGATTATACGTTTACTCATCACTATACAGAGTAAGCAACCGCTGGTGTTCAGGGTGAGCCTCGTTCTCAGGATCAGCACCCTACTTGGGGTGTATCAGACTCATGGATCTTTGAGCAATACACAGGCCCATGAAGTACCATCTACAGCTGAGAGAGACTGCAACCCCTCAGTTTACAGTTTAAGACACTTAAAATGCAGACATTTTGAAAGTACTAAGTGGAGCGGGTTCTGTATTTCAGTTTAGTCCCTGACCACTAATAAGTAAAACCAAAACTAAAACCAAAAAAAACCACTAATTCAAATGGGAGGAGGCTGGGTGTAGAGGAGGGATGTGTGATTTATGTGTGGATATTCACAAGAAATGCAAACAAAAAGCATTATGTATCTCATGGGAAACACTATGAAACTATGAGTACATGAATACCATCATGAAAGAATTTTAAAAACCGTCAATTTTTAAAATCCTATCTTGAGTAAACTATCACAAAGAGGCAATGAACCCCTTTAAAAGCAAACACGTGTTTTGACAGAGAAATGTGAATTCATTCTGTGAACCGTTAGGTGGCTTCTTAGCAAGGCATCAAATAATCTGAGACATCCCAAAATGTGCAATCATATTCCTTAAATTTTCACCTGCTGGCTTAAGACTGCACTAATATTTTTAATCTTCTGAAACACACAGAAATTTACATCCATAATAATGTAAATTTATAATCACAGAGAAGCTTCCAAACTATATTAAAGAATGTAAAAGAATCAGAACGCTTATTTTCTTCATTTATTTCTTTTATAACATATCTATAAATAATAGGAATTACTTTTTAGAAATATTAATCTATCCTGTACTCACTGGCAAGAAATAAAATAAAATAGCTCCTTAACCCATGGGCTTAACAAATACAATATACCAACAGAAGTCAGGTACTACAAGTACTATAATATAAGCCTCATGTAATTTAGTTTGCTTACCGGTCAGCTATTGCTTTGGCCATAAAATAATCTTCAGCAATGTACTGAGCAAAAGCTATAAGCCCTCCTGCTTGATCTAACACATCCTTTCTCATTAAACAAGACATTCCTGTCACACATTTGAAGCCAGTGACATTGGCAGAGATATAGGACCTTGGATGGGAAGTTCCAAAATATACCTGTCCCCCAAAAAAGCAAAAACATATATGTATAGTTAGAATGTTATGTTAAAAGTATGGTATCTAAAACATTTTTTTCTTAATGAACTTTAAGTATGACTGAGTGATTATCTTCTTATTCTTACATAAACTACCTGAATAAAAATTATTACAAAACACTTTTTACATGTGGCAGGCAATCAGTAGTTTATTTGACTATTCTTTTTTTTTTTTTTTTTAAGAATTATTTATTTTAGAGAGAGAGAGAAAAAGAAAGCATGTGAGTGAGAGTAGGAGGAGCGGCAAAGAGAGAGGGAGAGAGAATCTCAAGCAGACTCCTTGCTGAGTGAGAAGTCCCATATAGGGCTCAATCCCATGATGCTGATTATCATGACCTAAGCCAAAATCAAGAGTTAGACACTCAATCAACCGCACCATCCAGGTGCCCCTAGATTGACTATTCTTGTTATCACCATTACAAAGAAAAATATACTTCTAGGAAAAAATAATTCTATTTTCAAATAAATACTGTCTTCCCTAATGCTACAAGATTCAAAGATTTATCCAAATAAAACTTAATTTGGATATAAAATAAGTCAGGTAAAAATATCACTCACTGATGTCAAATATTAACAAATATGTTATATAGCCTACTTTCAAAATGTTTGTGTAACTACATCTACACATACAGGCGTACGTATGTGAACATATGTTACATGTGTATGTAAATTGTGTATATACTTCCACATGCATACATACAAACAGCACTTATAGGTATATCAACCTATAGGACAATCCTATTTTAATTCCTTTTGTGCATCCTTCCATAGCTAGTTGCTTCCTGCCCCTGAGTCTCTGAGCTTCTTCCCTATTTCCCCAATGTTATTTTTCTTTATTTTTAAAATATTTTATTTACTTATCTGAGAGATTGAATGAGCATGCACATATGCATGAACAGGGGGGAGGGGCAGAGGGAGAAGCAGACTCCTAGTGAGCAGGAAGCCCAATGTGGGGCTCAATCCCAGGACACTGGGATCATGACCTGAGCCAGAGGCAGATGCCTAACTAAGCCATCTAGATGCCCCACAACTTGAATGTTTCTAAAACAAAAATACAAGGTGGCATATAAGAATAAAAAGTATTTTCTTGGGGATCCCTGAGTGGCTCAGCAGTTTAGCACACCTGCCCTTCGGCCCAGGGAGTGATCCTGGGGTCCTGGGATCGAGTCCCGCATCAGGCTTCCCACAGGGGGCCTGCTTCTTCCTCTGCTTATGTCTCTGCCTCTCTCTTTGTATCTATCATGAATAAATAAATAAAATCTTAAAAAAAAAAAGTATTTTCTTTTAAAGTAACTACTCAGAGTTTCTCTTACTGAACAAAAACTCTGATATTTAAAGACTTAATGATTTCTTGAAATCGGACAAATATATTCATGGGCAATAATAAGAGTTCATGGCTCAAACTGCCAAAGGTTAAATTCCACTCACAACATACCTTTACCCCCTCAGATCTGTGGTAATCCCAAGACTGCAATTCAAAATAATGTAAGTGCAGATATGCTTAAAAGCAAGTTGATATGTTTAAAAGACTACAAGTGTATATCCTTCCCTGATGACATTAAAGCAAGTTTTTCTTCCTTAATGTTTTATAGCACAGAAATGGTTAAATCAGGTATAGAACATGCATGTGATAGACTGTGATACAGCCAATAAAAAACACTTTTATAAAAAAAAATCACTTTTATATAAAGTTAAAAATATGGAGAAAAGATAATGAAGTGACAAAAATCAGATACAAATTGTTTTTAGAGTACCATCTCAGCTTTTTAAAAAGGCACATGGGAAAAAAAATATATAAACTTTCTCTCATTGGTAGGGTTATTCTCTCCTCACAAATATAATAAAAAAATCTTTAAAAAAAGGAAAGTCAAATGGATTTTATAATAACTTGTATGAATAATTTTCCATTTTATGTATTTAAATATTCTGATATTTTACAAAGATTCTTTTCAGATTAGGTCTCTGAAAGAACTATATGCCACGTGCTTTTATGTTAAGTCTATAGTCTAGAACCTAACTCTAGAACTGAAAGCGAGGGTTATAAGGATAAAGACTATGGTGTGTTCAGCTGGTAATGAGATCGCAAGGTGTTTCCTCCATAAATCCATTCACTGCTGGAGTGTAGTAAGTTCAGCTGTCAGTGATTGCAGGGGCCCAAAAATGTCTTCACTCATAAAACACTAATCTCATGTTGGATACCAGTACTTAGCATGTTAAAACAGACTTAATTACAGTTCACATTGGGTAGTTCATCTCAACTCTCAAGTTTCTGGCAGATCAGGGATGTGACTGACAATAAGAACATTATTTATGACCACCATACTTACCTGTTCTAATGTGGCAGCAAAGCCCTGTCTGTCTGCTACATAAGGCAGACCATGAACCAGGCCTACTTTCTCTGTCATTTGGTTAACCATGTCAGTGAGTGTGTCTGGAATTACTACAATAAAAAAGACAAAAAGGTGGCAAGGGAGAGAGGAAAAGAAAATCTTTTTAGTAAAATGCCCATTAATGCAAAATACATTTTGTGAACTATCATTAAATTCTTTTTTTTTACATTTGGATCTAATAAAATTCTCACTTTTCTAAGTAGAATACAAAATCTCCAAAAAAGGCATAATTTATGATAAGCTAATTTATGCTATATATTTTCAGGCTAATATACACCTACTATGTACCAGAAACAAGATATACCTTGAAAATGTTACTCCTCCTATTTCAGAACCTCCAAGCTGTCCTAAAGACAATGTGGCCTAACTGAAACGGTACAGGAGCAGAGGTCAAAGGACCTCAGTCCTTATGCTGGCTTCTGCATTCTCTAACCATAGGAAAATGAGCCTCCTCTTTCTTAGAGGGTCTTAGAGGGTCTCTCATAAAACTGCTGAGAATTGAATGAGATGATACTCGACAGAGATGTGTACATGTGTTACAAAAACATAACAAATATATGATAGAAAATAAGATAGAAAACACGAACAATGAACATAATCTGACCACAAACTAATAGATCTGTAATGATCCTGATTAATTAGGCCTGCCACACTTCTCTTAATTTTCCAATCTGCATTTTAGGCTAATAAAAAAATTTAAATCATTGTCCCCTCTTCAAATAGCAAACATCTCCTATCATTTTACATGACCTTATTTTTATTTTCTTCAAGTCTTTATGAATGAAATCTGCTCTATGAGTGTATTTGGGTCTTAAATACACATATTCGAGAGCAGTGGTTCTCAACTGCTGCTCTGCAAGGGACATTTAACAATGTCTAGAGACAGTTTTCAGTTGTCACAACGGAGAAAGAGGTGCTACTGGAATGGAGTGTGTAGCAGGGGATCCTCGCTAATCATCCCCCAGGGCAGCCTCAACAACAAAGAATTATCCAGCCCAAAATGCTGAAGTCGAGAAACTTGTGGTAATTGGAATATAAATGTTTAAAAATGCCAAATGTGAATTATAATTCCAGCATATAAATGCCTTCTTCCTAAAATAATCTAAAAGCCATATATATATACTTTGGTAAGATACTAACCTATTCATTTTTGTCCCTTTGTGTGAGATAGTCTATTATTGGTGTCACAAACAGACTCAAGTTAAAAGATAAGCTTACATGAACAAAGGGAAATTTACAACTATGAAAAATCCTATATAACGGACCATGACTATTTTATTAATAGTTGGAATTTTCTGTTCAATGTAATAATATTTTTATACATGTAACATTCTAGGTTAGCATTAAAAAATTCCAAATCTTACTAAGTATAACTTGACATTCTACCATGAAAAAATGAAATAAATTACTTTATTAAGCAAACAAAAAGGATTGATAAATATATTTTCAGATTGCTTTTGGCATTTTATCATCCAATGAATAGTCTTGTAAAATAAATAAAAAGAAGCTCACCTCTTATTCCACTATCACAAATCCATATCAGATCATACTTTGCAACTTCATATCCTGGCATTAAATTATTAATTTTAGGATTAATGCCAACTTTTTTGCCACCTAAAAATGTAAAGGTGCAACAGTCAAAGATTCGTGTAACATTGGAAATATTTTCTAAAATTCAGATATAGGGCAGAGAGAAGTGAAAAGTACTTTCATATGTAATAATTTAAGAAAACATACTTTAACATTATGCTTCACATTCCTTAGTATTCATAATATATTCAGGAAAAAACTGTTCATTCTCAAAGATAATTTCTTTGAAAATGTGTTAGGTTCAGTTTTTTAATTCTTAAGTTAATGCATCAATAGTTAAGTATGAATCAATGTTTAATGGCAAATATCTCTCTACAAGTCTTCAGACTAAGCCCCAGGCTTTTGAAAAACATTCATTTTTAAAAAAATATATTATTTTTGAAATATCATAAAAGCAAATTTTCTTGCTCAACTCCCAATTACAGTGAATGAGATATAGGAAAGCCCAGAGACTGAAAATATTAAAGAAACAAAAACAACAAACTCTTATGTCTGACTGAGAAAAACATGATAGGGTAATGGGGAGGGAGTAGGGGTTTTTTGGTTATTTTGTTAATCCCAGGTAGGAAAAAAACATGTGTTTTTAGAACTTAAGTTTTCTTGAAAGGATACAAACATACCCTATCACTATTCCAACATGATAAAGCAAACATCCTAATAACGTCACTATAGTTTAATACAAAGATTACTGATACTTAATACTATTAAAGCAAAAAGGATTATTGGAGAATTAATTTGTTACCTACCAATAAACAATCTAGCATCAACATTTGGATATTTTCCAAGAAGCTTCTTACATACATCAATGGCTGGATCATCATGATCTTGTACACAAAGGAGTACTTCATACTAGTCAAAGAACACATTTTATGTAAATTAATCTCTTATAAAAATAAGCACATTATTAGTACTTACTGATAAAAAGGCATTAAGAAAAACAAGCAATTGTACACACACAGTTTAAAAGTTAAGAGAGTACTCATAATGGATGCAAACACTTATGATATCAAGTGTTGCTTTAATCGAGAGCAGCTTCTCCCAGAACAGGGGGCCTATTTGCAAGCAGAAGAGATAATGAAGACACTGACAGCCCTCAATGCTGATGTCTTGCCATTCCCAGATAGGCATGGCCTGGTAATTAAATGGGATATCAAGCTTCTCTAGGGCCTTCCTCACTGAAGATTTACTAAATACAGGGTGCCCAGCAGTGTAAAAGCAACACAGAAAGCAAGCAAAATAAACACCCACTCTGCTCTCTAGAAGCTCTCTCTGAATTTATTATTTCACGAAGGTGCTATAAATTGTATGTCAAATTCCATAATGATCTATTTAAAGGGTGTTCCCAAATTCTTTACATGAAAAGGACAAAATGAGATTAGACTTTTGCTGTATAATAGTTTTTGAAATAAAATTTGATTAGGGATCCCTGGGTGGCGCAGCGGTTTGGCGCCTGCCTTTGGCCCAGGGCGCGATCCTGGAGACCCGGGATCGAATCCCACGTCGGGCTCCCGGTGCATGGAGCCTGCTTCTCCCTCTGCCTATGTCTCTGCCTCTCTCTCTCTCTGTGACTATCATAAATAAAAAAATAAAATTAAAAAAAATTGACTGAAAATCTATCATCCTGAAAAGCATGGTTAGCCTTTTAACACTGAAAATACCCAGGGCTTTATTTTGCTCAGTAGGTTAGGGATGTCATTTCATTGCAATTGACTGGCTGTGTCCGTTACCCTGGGACATTTATTTAAAGAAGAGAATCGTGGCCCCACTCTTACTTTTGAATTAGAAATCTGGGGGTGATTCTGACATATAACCAGATTTATAAAATCTTGAGCTAAATCTTTAAGTTATCATTGAGTAAATTGACTAAATTTTTAAAAAGTATTTGCTTTCACATACAAAAATGCTACTATATTATTTTATAGGGTAAGTATTCTTAGTTTTTTGGTTTTTTTTTTCCAAAAATGCTGTTCAATTCATGCTGACTCGGTGACAAATTTCCTACCAATCCTTTCTAAAATGGGGTGGGCATGTTTAAGCAAAAGAGGGAGGTTAATTATGTTCACGAAAAAGAACCCAAATCTATGGGTCCTAAAAAATAAAAAGAGCTAAGGATATAACTTTGTAAGTATCTGAGCTACAGGGACTAGCACAGGTAAAGGGGAGATTCAGCAAAAACTAGCAACATGGGAACTAGTGGTTGAATATGAAAAGGGCCAGGATTAAAGTCAAAGAAGAAAGTAACATGATTTTTTTAGGTGCAAAATAAAAAAAGTTTTCTCAATAATTAGGCAGAGGGGGAAACAATGCATACTTTCCTCATACTTTCTACCTACTATTCCTATACATTCTATCAACTATCTACTTTCAATGATAACTGACCAAAATTGCCACTCAGGAGGTATCGAAACCAACTTTATAGCTGCCTCGTCTCCAGGGACCAGATAAAAAAATCTGAGAATGGGAAGGACACCACTCTAGCCCACACCCTTGAACTTCCCAAAGGGTTGACTCCTACGTCCTATATAAAGCATCAGTCATCCTCCCAAATGACTCTCAAAACAATGTTTGGTTGAACCAGCTAAAAGGAATTGACCTTCGCAATGAAGATCAGAAAGATTAAGTGACCTTCCAAAGGGTAAAGGTAACAACTGGCTTCCCTAATAGAGCATGCTGCTCAGCCAGGCTTGCGGTAAAAAATTCCTCATTCTTCCAAACACCACAGAGTTTCTTTAATGCTTTTAGAATTCAGGTTGTTTTACAGGTAATAAGCAAGAACAGTGAAAGGAAATGTTCATAAGTGATAGAATTCCATAAAATATAATCAAAAAGTTAGTCTTAGCTTTTTTTTCCCTAGCAAGAGAAAACTTTGCAAAATATAGTTCTAGAAATGCACGCAGAGAAGGCAGAGTTTACCTTTCTTCAAACGCAAGATTTAAAGTTTTTATTTTCGGCGCCTGGGTGGCTCAGTTGGCTAAGTGTTCAACTCTTGATTTTGGCTCAGTGCGTGATCTTAGGGTCCTGAGATGGAGCTCCACATGGGACTCTGTGCTCAGTGGGGAGTTCACTTGAGTTCTCCTCTCCTCCTTTCCCTCTGCCCCTCACCCCTTTGCATCTCTCTCTCTAAAATAAATAAATCTTTTTAAAAAATTAAAAACCTCCTGATTACCCAGAGTGCGAACAAAACTCAAGTCACATTAAAAAATGTTCATTTTCTTATTAAACACATAACTTTCACTTGTTTTGGATATTGAAAATCATACCAAATAGGAGGTAAGCATTCCAAGTATTCTCTGAACTATTAGATTTTAACCAGGAGTCTTCGTTTTCAGCTATGATAATGACCTATGTCTTCAGTTTGATCAAGCATTTTATTTGCTAGAAACCTCTGTATTAGAATAGTTAAATCACTTCCAACTACCCTGAAACTGGCAAAATACAACACACCAAATTGGTTAAAGACTCTCTTAGCTAATACAAAAAATTCTCTGGATTCTTTTTAAAAAAAGATTTTATTTATTTATTTATTTATTTGAGAAAGAGTGAGGATGTGCGTGAGTGACAGGGGTGCAGGCAGGAAAAGCAGAGGGAGAGGGACAAGCAGACTCCACGCAGAACCCAATGTGGGCTTGATCTCACAACCTGCGTTGAAATCAAGAGGCGGAGGGCTTAACGGACTGAGCCACCCAAGCACCCCTGGATATTTTTATAGTATCTAAAGGATTAGGCATAAGAATATATGTTCAAAAACTTAGTGTCTATTAAAAATATTACACTTTAAAAATATTTCAAGAAAACATTTAATAATTCAGAAAGGGCTTTAAGATATAGTGAATTCCATTATAAAGTGATATAGTATGAATACATAAAATCCAGAAATAAACCCCAGAGTAGTTCAGATGAGAAGGTTAGTCTTTAGTAAGGTTACATACTTATAGCTAGAACTGGCTAATTTTCCCTTTTCCTTTTCAAACAGTGCAATGGCTAAAAGGCTGAGAACAAGGGGTGTGTGTGTGTGTGTCAGAAATCCACAAAGTGGGATTCAGCCTTTGATATTTAAAAACAGAATATCTGAAATGGCAATAATCACGAATGCTACTTTTTAGCTTTTATAAATAAATTCAGATGCATATAAAATATTAGATTTAGGGATGTGAATAGCATTAGAAAAACTTTGCTGATTTGGCCCTGTAGATATTAGGAATATAAACTTTGCACTACAGCAAACAAGATAAAACATCCTCTCAAAATAGAAAACTGTTTTAACGATATTAATCAGTTATACGGCATATCAAATAGGAATATCCTGGTCTATAAATAACTATACATCATCTCTACAGAAAATTTTATGATGATACTGGATGACAACAGAATAGAAATTTTCTATGACAGAATAGATTTAGACCCCAAATACCTAGAACATTCTTGCAGCATGGAGATTAATAACACTTATTAAGTTAATGCATTTGTCCTTAGGATAACTTTTGAGTCAAAGAAAGATGCCAGGAAGGAAATGTTTCATAAGAACACAGCTCTGAATTCGAAGTCTGGACAGCTCTGCTTCTCTATTTTCAAGAAATTGTTTATATGGTTTTCTAAATTTACATGGCAAATTCCTAGTCTTGCAGATTTAGTAGTTTCACCACATATGTCGTGCTTGGTCTTTTGGTAATGGATTCAGTTTTCTGTCTTCTCTAATTCTTTGTTTAGAAACCATTCAGTAAGAAAACAAGTCCTGTTATGGATAACTACACCACTGGCAAGAAAGAGTCCACATGTGGCACCGGACTTGTAACATCTTACGCCAATTCTCTATTTGCAAAAAAGGCAAAAAAAAAAAAAAAACCCCACCAATATTACCACAGCTTCATGCTCCAATCATTTAAGCTATTCTTTTTTTTTTTTTTTTTAAGATTTTTACTTCTTTATTCATGAGACAGAGAGAGACAGAGACAGAGACGCAGGCAGAGGGAGAAGCAGGCTCCATGCAGGGAGCCTGACGTGGGCCTCCAGGATCACGCCCTGGGCCGAAGGCAGGCCTAAATCACTGAGCCACCCAGGGATCCCCTCCAATCATTTAATTTAAAAACTCTTCATATGGCCCGGATTTACTAACGTAAAGCTGTCAAACCATTTGAAACTGATTACCGCATCTTCCTTCTGCGGCTAAATCTCTCCCTAAAGGGCTGTCTACGCTGACGCCAAGCTGAGTGCTCAATTTTGCAGAAAATGAATTGTATGGCTTTTTCATTCTTATGTGTTTTTTCCCCTCAAGGAATAAATATTAAAATAAGTGGACTGGGGCTCCTGGGTGCCATAGTAGGTTAAGTGTCTGACTCTTGGCTTCGGCTCAGGTCATAACCTTGGGGTCCTGGCACCAGTCCCCACCTCAGGCTCAGCACAGAGTCTGCTTAAGACTCTTTCTCCCTCTCCCTCTGCCCCTCCCCATGCCATGTGTTCTCTCTCTCAAATAAATAAAATCTTTTAAAAAACCAAAACCAAGTGGATTGACAAGATATGTAAAGCACCGAAATATTTCAGGGCAATTAGTATAGTAACAATTCTCACCAAAGTTTAAACCCAGAAATTCAGAAAAAGTACGTAGTAAATCTTCTTGCATATGTCCAAAATTAAGTAAAATTTCTGAATTTCAACATGTTCTTTTTCCAGAATGGTCTATAATGTTCCAAATCAAATGAGAAGGAAAAACTTAAGTCCGGAATGAAATAAGACATATTTCTAGAAAACAATTGTCAAGTCGACAAAAAGCCAATAGTAAAGTTTGCTGGGCCTGGCAGTCACACAAATGTTCGTTTCAGGACTACGGGTCTCCTTGGTGACACAAGCAAGTTGTCTGTTCATTCTCAGATTTGTGGGATTTCAGTGGTTTAACTTTAGTTTCTTGGGGAACATTTGTCATTGGGTTTGGTTTTTTAAAAAGTCAGTAAAATTTTTTTAAAAAGTCAATAAAATGTGGCAAGGTCCAAATTTTCCTTTAGATTGCAGATCCTTAGACTTTCCCTCTGCTTTCTGTATTTTCTATTTACACAGCTAACAAACAGAACTTTTAGTACTGTACAAAGTTTTAGTAAATAAAACTTTGAAAAAGAATAAAAACAATCTTATATGCAGTTCCTCATTTTATAATAAGTATCGAAACAGCTTTCTCCACAACCAATTTAAAGACCCCAATGGCATAAGTGGAAAAAGAAGCAAAAACTAGAGCTCTTAAGATAATCTCAAATTGTAATTAAAAAAATCTTCATTCAGAAGGAGAAATCAATCATGGACTTATCCCAAATGTTCAGAATTAATGGATACATATGTTCTTGGGTTATTTTTAAAAACTCTTTCTGCAACTAAAACCCACACTAACTTCCGCAACCAATTCAATTCCATGACTATCATTTCCTGAGGACCCAACATAAAAGTTCCATAAGTAAGCTCTGAGAGTGAGTGATGGCAAAAGGGCAGGATGATGATGAAACAACTGAAATGTGACATTAAATTTCAACAAGGATAAATGCATGATTCTAAGCTATTCTGAGATTTAATATCAATGAAACTATTCTTCATTAAAAAAATTCTTTGCATTTACCTACATAATGTAGGACTTGAAAACCTTCCATTTTTCTTATTGCAAAGCTTATTTTACAGTTAATTTTACTTGTATCATTCTTTCTAAATTACAAAAGAATACTTCTTACACTTTCACATTTGAAGAAAATCAAGTGATTTTTTAAAAATTACATATTACATTTATTGGATAGATATTGCATGCATGCTTCACATCTCTAAAATTATTAAACACACACATAAACTAGAAGAAAAACACATAATTGTTTTGCTTCAACTTAGCTTCAAATACCTAGACTTCCAAACTTTAAAAGCACTAATATAAAAACAACACTAAAAAATAACTGAATTATACTTGTGTCTACATACTTAACATCTGTGTCTTCTCTATTCTATTCATTGATGCTACCAAGAAAAATAAGAGCTAAAAGAAAAGAAATAAGAGTGTGAAAAACAGTCACCATGAGAAGTGTGGTGGATATATTATCTTCCTCCTCACTAGTTGGGATACACTGTTCTAAGGAAATAGGGCAAGAGTCTCCAAAGGGCAAAAACTATGGAGAAACTGAGACAGTAAGGGTAAAAACTGACACAAGTGAACAGGGACCTTGGAGGAAAATTCAAATCAAGCAGCTAGAAATGTAAAGACACATTCAAAAGCAGTGTTTCAAACAGGCAGCTTAAAAAGCGGCAATCAAGCTGCCTACATAAATAAACAGTCAATTCTCCTAAGAAACTACAGGTGGAATATCAAAGGGAAGAGATAAAAAGAATACTGTCACCTCAAGAAAACTGGGAGTTCACCAATGAAGGAAGATGCTGAGTTAACAGATCTACAGATTGTATAGATGAATGATACAAACAACACAACAAACAGTAGACTACTACTCAGCCATCAAAAGGAATGAAATCTTGCCATTTGCAAGACATGCATGGAACTAGTGGATATTATGCTGAGCGAAATAAGTCAATCAGAGAAAGACAATTATCATATGATCTCATTCATATGTGGAATTTAAGAAACAAAACAGAGGATCATAGGGGAAAAGAGGAAAGAAAAAAAAAAAAAAGATGAGATGAACCATAAGAGACTCCTGATTACAGGAAACAAACTGAGGTTTGCTGGAGGGGAGGGCATGGGGGGATAGGGTAACTGGGTGATGCGCATTTAAGAGGGCACAACATGTAACGAGCACTGCGTATTATATGAGACTGACAGATCACTGACTTCTATCTCTGAAACCAATAATACGTTAATTGAATTTAAATAAAAATAATTATTTAAAAACAACAAACAATACATATGGCATTAAAACCCAGAAAGATAAAGAAATTAGAAATTAGGTATGAGGAAGCCCCATCTTACCGCTAATTGTAACCTATTCTTGGCTCAAAACCCAGATTCTCAAGGGAATTTACGTTTACTTCTAGCTATCTTGCATCCCATCTCAGATCACTAAACGCTGCTTTTTCTCTCTCACGGCCTCTTCTTCTCGTCATTCACATATGCCTCTCATGGAACAAGATTTTTTTATTCAAACTGCCAGGCACTTAACAATGTCTGAGTTCCAGGAGGTCTACTCTGGGATTTCTAATTCAGATGGACATGCAGGTGGTTACAAGGTTACAAAAGGAAATCTGTCCCCTTCCTCAATTCCATTTCTGTCCTGTGACTACTGCTATCACAGCATAAATTGTATGAGACTGACATTGTCGTGCATTTTTAATACCTTCACCTTTTACAGTCAACATGGCTCTTTACAAGAGAAACACGAGAGAAAAGCACAAGGGGGTATCTCACCCATTTCTAATGAGTTCAAGGTTGTACTTACTTTGGGGTAATCCAATTCGAAGAATGTCTCCAAGTTGTTGATTAGGTTAGGATCTACGCCTTTCAGTGGCTTCAGAAGAGACACACCCGGGAGCTTGCTATACGGCTGTTTGTCCGTTGCCTTCTTGTTGAGGTGTAATCGGCTAAAAAGCAAATGATATATACATTATTTCTGGATAAAGTATGTGTGAGGCTATCGAATATTACTAAATTCTAAGTTTTATTTGTTTACTTGTTTTTTTTAACTTTTATTTTTAATTTTTATTTAAATTCAATTTGCCAACATACAGTACAACACTCAGATATCTGAAAATGAAGCAAAGTAACCAGAGAAGTGCCCAGTTTAGGAAAACCAGAACGAAGCAGACTGAATGTTCCAATGAAGGCTGGAGTTTAAGACTGTTGTTTATGGTTGTACTCTCAGTGCTTAGAGAACTATGCCTAGTAGAGAGTAGGCATTCAATAAATACATGGTGAAGAAATGAATTATAGTGTTAGCCCACATATTAACTGCCCTTCCTCCCAAACTGCCATCAAAGTGGACCAAGAACTATATAAACAGCGGGGGGTGGGAGGGTGGGGAGAGGAGTTCCTATCTTCCCCAGAAAACCAGAGAAGTATAACCAGAAAAATCTGAGAAATTTCTATAACAAGCAGCCTACATAACACACAACTGAAAGAAGTATTATGCTACTGGCACAGCAAGCAAGAAAATGGGTAAGTAGCGGAACTTCTAATATTCACAAGCTCAGAATGGCAGGGGCGGAACAGAGGGAATTTGAAAGTATGAAAAAAAATCACTATGATGAAAAAAAAAGGTCTATTAATGACATTGGAAGATATACCAGTGCCACCACTACACAGACAAGTTGGCCAAGGTTCTCAGCACTGGTCCATCCCAAGGGTGCCACAGCAAAAGGCTCCTAAGGAGGGAAGCCATGCGAATTAATGAAAGAATTTGCCCCAGTTAATGCTCATGGTGTGACAACAAAGAGAAGAGATGCCTTTCAGCAGAGTGGTGATGTTTCTAAAGGAAGTCACTGAAATCTTTCCTCCTCCTCATAAGCAAGTCTCCAAGCACTCAACAGTAATTAGAGGTTAGAACGATCACGGGACCATGTGCAAGATATTTTAAGACACACGTTCTTCCACATTTTAACATCTCTGAAATCGATGGCATCTTAACAATTGGTGGCAGCCAGATGGCAGTCCTAAATTAGTAGCATGAAAACCAGCCTTCTAGAAGATCAAGAAAACACCATAATCAATGCATCTTTGATTTGATGAAATACACCATTAATCTATGAATGACTTTGAAAGTATACCACTAACATCATCCACAGCAGTTGGCCCTGGGCTCATGCTCAGTTAATTAAAGGCCATAGCAAATATCCAACATTTCAGATAAGGCCATAAAACATTTTACAGAAAGAAAAATGGGTTACCTACAATGGAAAAAAAAATTTTAACCAGTAAGAGATTTTTTAAAAAATAAGATAGTATCAATTTCTGATATACAACCTCCAAATGCCAGAAAATAATAGGGTATCATTTCCAGCAGTGCTGCTCATTGTGGTTCGTGGATAAGTTGCATTTTTACTGGTCTGCGATGAGAAGAAATGAAGAGAAAGCATTTAGAAACATTTACAGCAATTTGACATTTCCATGCCATCCAAGCACGTGATCAGTATTTATTTTTATTGTAGTTTACCAAAGTATCAGTCTATGCCAGACTGGAAAATTTTTAAAGAGCTGATCTTCTGCCATAGATAGTTAGGAAAATATTCATCTAGCAAGATCATCTAGAGGATGGACAGAGGTAAAACCATGATCTAAAACTTATACAACCCCTGGGGTGCCTGGGTGGCTCAGTTGGTTAAGCGTCCGACTCTTGATTTTGGCTCAGGTCATGATCTCAGGGTCATGGGATCGAGCCCTCAATGAGTGTGGAGTCTGCTTAGGATTTTCTGTCTCCCTCAATCCCTCCCTGCCTCATGGGTACACCAAGCTTTCTCTCTCAAAAAATAAAGTAAGGGGTGCCTAAATGGCTCAGTCACATAAGAGAAGTCTCCCTGTCACCCCTGTCCCTCATTCTCAGCATTATTAGTTTCTTGCCCATCTTTCCAGAGACTTTTAAAAAATGCATATACAAGCCAACACACACACATACAAATCTAACATAATATTTATAATGTTTAATAGAGATGCATTAAAAGCATGTTTTAAAATACATGAGTGAACTGTTAGGAAAACAGAGAAAACCTCCCAGGTCAGAAATGTGGAGAAATCTATGAGGGAGTGCTGGATGCTTGCCCCAGGGCCACCTGTTAGTCCCTGATGATCTAGAGATGGAGACAAGCCTGAGACAAGAATGATGGGACCTCTGTTCTGTCCATCTTGTATAAATACAGAATCCCTGAAAGGCAAAATAGAAAAATACTGGCCCACAGAGCAAAGATGGGGATGCTGCCTTCTTGGATTCACTCCTGAATGAAGTGAATAAAAGGAAAAAGTCTTCCAAGAGAACACCCAACACATGGGTTTGGAACCCATAACACAAATTACCTGTGCTGCTTGAACAAAACCCAAGAGAAAAGATGAGAGACCACCCGAGGTGAAGAAAACACTCAATGTCTAGAAATAAAAAATATAATCATTCACATTTGAAACGCAATAGACAGAAGAATGCATGTACAGCTTAAAAGAGAACTAGACAACTGGAATCTAGATTTGAAGAAATTATCCAGAATGCGGCAGAGAGAATGGGAGGCAAGGCACTGAAATCCTGGAACAGTTTAAGACATGGAAGACAAAATAAGAAGGCCTGGAATCCCAGGAATTTTTTCATTATTTTCCCACTGCATGATCATTAAGTGCTATTAAACTTATCGAAACATGCACAAGGTCGACCAATACAGAGAAATCCAGCCCACTAGCTCACTGAATTTGGCAAATCTTTAAATTAAAAACAAGGATAACTTAAACAGCATTAAATAGTCCACAGGACTGATTCTCCGTCCCCCTCTTCCCTTTCTCTTTATTAAGACATTTTACTTTAAATGCTAATAGAGATATACCTCCTGTCCTTCGGAAAGCTTTTTGTATCAAGAATGTAGTATTTTATCAGACTCATTCTGACTCACCGAACAATGAAGCCCTTTCTGGTTAATACTAAATCTGAAATTTCTACTCAAAATAATTATAACCAAACTATGTCACAGGATCTTAAAAAAAAAAAAAATCCCATTTGTCTTTCTCCCATCTTTCTCTCTCCCCCCTCAACCTCCCAAATTTTCATTCCATACCCCCTAAGGAGTCATCTTGTGAAGTACCCCCTAGGATACAAGAATCCTACTTTGGAGCATATTGTTTTGATTTATGTAACATAACTGACAAAGCCCCTTGTTACAAATTATGTGAAATGTTTATCAAAAACAGTAAAACATCCATTACATCACACACCAAATCACATGGCACTACAGTGAGCACACAGTGGTGCTCCACGACTACTTGCCATTTCCTCCCTAAACAATCATTTCTGAACCCCAGATGTACACTAGGCATCATCCTGCACACTGGAGATAAAGTGAACAGGGGAATTCCCAAGTGCCAAGGAGCTGCAGTCTAATGGAAGAGTTACACGTGTACAGAAGCTCTTCTCTACATAAAACTTTTATAGTCAACCAAACCATGTTCTAAAGCGAGAACTTTAATATAACTTTGCCCGCCACACAGAGAAAGGATGCTGGCGGGTGCCTTGGCCATGGCTAGTGTTTTGTAAGCCAATCTATATTTTTCAAAATATGATCAACAGCCCATTTGCCCAGGGTCTCAAAAATGGCCTGAGTCCTCCAAATGAGGTGGCTCTGACAGGGTCTACAGGGTTTACTGGTTTCAAACCGGTTTACCTCTGGTATCTCAGAGCAGGGGATCTGTAGGACTAAGAACTGAACTTGAGCCCACTGCATCCACCCATTGCACTGGATTTATCATGGGTGCCCATTTCCACCCTTGACCTAAAGCAGGTGACTCACTTTCTGTCAGGATCTTTTGTACAGTCCTTTCTCAGTTGGAGGTTCTACACCAGAAATCCAGTTCTACCTTCCCATCATGCATCTGGCTTGCAGGGCCTTGTCTTTCTTTTAGAGGGCGGGGAAGAGTACTTTTTATTGATATGTAACACATAAAGTCACATGTGTGTATACAGCTCAATGAATCTTCTCAGAGTGAAACACCCATAAGCAGGACCCAGATCGAGAAGCAGAATATTACTGGAATCCCAGAAGCCCTTGTGCGTCCCCATCTACTAACTACCCTCCTCCTCAAGGGTAATGACTTCCAACACACCAATTCTGCCAATATTAGAATTTTATCTCAAGGGAATCCGATAGGATGTACTCAATTGTATCTGGTTTCTTTGACTTCATGTGTTTGAGAGATTCATCTTTGCTGTTACATTTAGTTATAGTTCATTCATCTCTTAAAAAGAGTCATTTATTTTGAGAGAGAGAGAGAGTGAAAGAGCAAGTGGACATGCACAAGCAGGAGTGGCAAAGGGGGTGGAAGAGAGAACCTCAAGCAGACTCTGCACTAAGCTCAGGGCCCAAAGCAGGGCTGGATCTCACGACCCTAAGATCATGATGAGCCCAAACCAAGAGTGGGACACTCAACCGACTGTCCCATCCAGCTGTGCCTAGTTCTTCATTCTTATTGCAGCCTATATTCCTTGTATTAATACACCACACTTTATTTAGCTACTTTCTGTTGATGGGCATTTGGGTTATTTCCAATTTGCAGCTAATACATTTAGTCTGCAGCCTTGTCTCTGTCCTTACAAAAGTATCAAAAACCCTGGCCTAAACCCCACCCCACCCCCCGGACTTACACTTTCAGACAAGATGAAGAGATAGAGGTTGGATCTGCTTGTCTACCTGAAGCAATTTTTTAAAAAATCAGACAAGATGTGGGAAACAAATGGGAAACGGTGGCTTTTAAGATACTGCACATGAGATAAAGGAGGACAGTGACTCCTACGACATGGAAAACAGATGAAGTCAGTGCTCCAATTGCCCCAGCTCACCGCTTTGAGACAATTTCCAGACCAGGAGACCAGTGTTTCTCAACACTTATATACACGATGCCC